GTGAATTAGTCGAAATATTCTAGCTACAAACAATTCAGGCACTAGCCCCAAATACTGAAATAACTGAAAATATGGCCCAAGAAAACTTCAGGGGCGCAAACCGGATGACACATTCAAACGTTTTTGTTTGCCGTATAATCAAACCTGAGAGGCCAATCCATAAGCGTTGGGAGGACCAAATGGGATGAGAGAGTGGCACGAGCTTAGTCAATATCCGTACTAAGTGCAGAATAAAAGCACGGAATTTTTCTTTCTAAAGTGTGCCGTTCTTATTCCAACATACGAAAAATTGCACTTTCTCATTCCTGCTTAAAACGGCCACGAGAAACAGTTTTTGGGGAACAATGCAGCGGTCATTTCTAATCGAATACTGTCAACACAATGGATCACGTGCCCTAAATTAGACATGTTCACACGGAATCGCTTACCCTGTTTTTAGCTAGCATTTCATGCACCCGCGGCACTGCAGTCCATCGAACGTTCCAATCGCCTTCGCAAACATAACAGTCGCATTCTGATGTGTGCCGAAACTACGTGACTATATGTACATTAAAGAAAGACCGGCGAGCTGAAAGATTCCCTTCTTCGGCATGCGTATGTGAGCTCTGTTCAGACAAAAGCGCCGAAGGTCACGTGAAAAGTACGAACGTGTAACTTGCACGAACGCAACTCATTGATTAATCGATGGGCCGCACTATAGTCAATGATTGAGACACAGTGAGTCTGCTCAATAATTTCTCGTCTGTTAATTCATAAAAAATAACGCATCATTGTTTTATTTTCAATTTATCCGCCGATCCCTAAATCTGATGAACCCGATAGGATAGCGAAGGGAAACCAACGACGACAAAGATCTGTGACTGAATGAATGAATTAGAATTCTTGTATTCAGCAATTAAATAATTGTTTGGAAATAAAAGTACTGTGTACAAAATGCTTTTTTGGGGGGATTCGGGTTTAATTGAATGCGCGCGAGCGAGCGAGCATTGGGATTCGGACAGTACACAAATCGGGATCGGTG